TTGTGTAGAATGGGTCCTTGCCTTGCAAGCCCTGTGATCATAGTCCAGCGCCCTCCTGTCAGTCCCCCAACTTTAAAAGTGAGGCCCAACTTTAGAAACCTGTACCTCCCCAGCACCTCTGCCCCATTTGCTCAGCGGGAGGCGGTATTAACGATGCCCGAACCCATCGGATGCTGCACACAATCGGTGCTTCTGTTTTCCCCCCGTTCCTGCTAATCCTCAGCTTATAAAACTCTGATTAAGCAACTGCTTAAAAAAATATTGTCCTCGCTTAAAAAGCTGAACCTACAGATTCGAATAGCGATATGGAGGTTTTCTGATACGAAAAAATCCACTCAGCTCTGAGCCCTTTCGTTTTCTGGGACATCCAATTCAAGCAACAAGTGTCTTACGGTGCAATCAGTCCCCACATAATTTGGAAAATTTGCTTGATAACTATGAAGACAAAGAGCTGAATGCTCAGCTCTAGGAGGCATCCTACTGGTCCACAAGGGTCGTATCTGAAGCTCTGGCGTGCTTCCTTTTCCCCCGGGTGCGAGTACAACTGACCCTGTAAAGAATCGAGAGAGATGACAACACCTTCGCTGTCTGTGGAAAGGGAGGAATTTGAAGAAATTCCATTCTTGCCTTGAAGAATGCAATGTAGATTAGTGATGAGTAGACATTGATGAACTGAAAAAGGAAAGTCTTGATCGCGTAAGAGTATTCAAAGTCCGTCTGCGTCCGAGGGCACTCCATTTTCACCAGGTATAGCGCCATTTTATTGTAAAACTGTGTGACGAGAAAAAAAAGATACCTTTGTGCAAAAGAGAAAGCCATTCTGTGAGTGACATTCAGCTTTGAAACTCAACAATAGAAAGATAAATACAGTATAAAAATCACGCAGAAACTTTGGGCGCTGCAAATATGCCGATTCCTTCTGCCCATCTTCAATTTACAGTATCATGATTGCATGACGTAAAATGAAGTTCTTATGTCTAAACAGTCTACAGGGTGGGCCAAAACAAGTTCCACATTTTTCATCAGGCTGTCACATATTAACTAAACAAGATAGGCGAAAGCAATTTATGTATTTACTTAGAATGCCCAGACTAAAATCAAGCTCACTTCATTTTGCAGGAATAGCTTCAGATGTTTTTGCACAGTGACAATTTCACAGCGAAAGGTGAAAAACCGTCGCTGCGCGGATTGGGGATTCTCCCTCCCACCCGTACGCGTGCATGGGTAGGTCAGCATTGCACGCAACAAACATTCCCTGGCAAAATGATAGGCAAACGAAAAAGAAAGAACTCCAAACAGCCAAAACGATAGGTTCTACGCAGATTTAGGCTACAAGAGCCTCGCTCCTCCAAACCGTCTGCTGAACAGAGCCCTTCAGCATGTTCATAATGGTATCGGTAGGTTTGTCGCGCAGCGGCGGTTTTTCACCTATCGCCGATATATCGTCACTGTGCAATTACTTCTTAACTGACTTTCAAAATAAAATCTGCATTTGATTGTAGCTATGTCATTCTAAGCAATGGTACCGATTGTAGGCACTTGACTTAATGAGCGAAAATGTTACAGCGGAATGAAAAATGTGGAACTTTTTTTTGGCCCTGCCTGTATAAAAAGCACCTATGCGAAAAAAAGTCAATGAGAACGAAGTCCTAAACTCTTCGTGTTATACGTTGCAGGTAAGGGTCCACTCTCAAATACTGTTTAGGATACCATTATGGAAAGAAGGCACTTGGAAGAGACAAGCTGCTCAGGATAGATCAAGTAATTTGCCTCCAATATTGAGAATTGAGAAGGCTGTAGCTAGCAAGATGGAGGATGAGAAGAGAGGTCAACTCAACCAGAGATAGTATTGCATGAGTTTAGCGAACAATTACGCTGTCACGCGCTGCTTCTTGCTCCTGTCCACTATCGATGCATCAAGTTAAGTGGAAGGGAAGGAGGGTAGCAGGTCTGGTTGGAGACGAAACATGCACCGGTCTAGGCTAAGAGCTGCGCGTGTGCCTTAACTCGCCCCGAACTCGTCGCTCATCACATGTACATGTGGTGAATATTTACCTACGAGAGATGATTTTATTATTAATCTTTTTATTCATTTATTCGTCCTATATGGGACCAATTTATAGGGCCAAACCCTGCCACATCTTCGTAGGCACTCATTTTTTCACATAGATGTGTGAATGTATTGCTTGGAGCATTGCTACAAAGTTGAAATCACGTACGACCACTACGCTATTGAAAGCAAAAGGGAGACAGACCCAGTTGAAGAATTGGATGACAATCAGGTTCATAATGGCGGCCGAGAAGGAAGCAAAAATCCTTGGATGTGTCTTGATCTCGTAAATGCGGCATGTATTGAGGGCAGCGATTATGGTAATGCGATACACGACCACTCCAAATACGGCCCCCAGCACCAGGAGCAGCTGCTCAAATCATATTCATTAGGATGTCAAAGATGCTATCAGTCAAGCATATGAATGAGCGGAATGGTCATACCAAGATGAAGATAAGACTGGCGGTGATGCTGAATTTCCCACACCTATGCCAACCAGGAATGTACGGCTCCTCTTCATACATCTCCTTTCTGATCTCCTTCGCCTGTCCATGTCACTTAAGGTGAATTCACTTTCTGTGAGCACATACACTTTAATACGCAATATCAATATTGAGCTTCTTTCTCATTTTCTCTTGTATGGAAGAGCCTTCAGGTTTATGAATGCGTTGAAACGATCATAGCTTGTGAAAATCAATGGAACAGCGTTTCGATCTTAATGTGTTCATTTTATGAGAAGATGGCCCTCATATTGACCAACATGACTCATATTAGTTCCACAGACATGGAAACTGAAACTTGGACTTAAAGGAAAGACAGTGGTAGTACAACATGACGGAACGAAAGCGCAAGTTGGAGAGCGGAACTTGTCAGTATACAGTATACCCAAGCCGCACAGAGGTAGTAGGTCATAGGTGGTCCAGGCACGACACTGGTGGATTTCTATCCTAGGCGGATCGTTGTTATATGTCGCGAGAGGATGTGGAGCCACCATCCTTGTGAACCTCCGGGTAGAACCTCTTTCGATCGAGAGACCTCAAACCCGTTGATTTACACCAGTGTCCCGCCGACAAGAGACTCAAGACAGGGCTATCCCAATCCAAAATGGCAGACAAAAAGACCATTCATTGCTTCGTGCAAGGTGCTATACAGTATATAGCGAAGCTTTCTCAGGAAAGGCTCAGTATTCGACCTACTGAGTTTGAGTCCGTTGCCCAAGATCCGGAACACTGAAGGATGCTACTTCGCCTGCTTCAGCCCAATACCTGATTATATAATTATTTGCTTGCGTCCATAG